GCACTTAGAAAATATAATAAACAATTCAGTTGACTTGTAGCATTAATCTTCACGGTGGATTTGTATGTACAATACTTCGTCCCTAAGAACCGTGACCAAAAGTTCCATTTGGCTTTATGAAGTGAAAGATCGGCTGGAGGAGCTGTATCTTCTTTCAGGGTACATTCTTTTACTAATTTTTTTGAAGTTATGAAACTAAAGCGACTCCCTACACAAAGATGTGTAATTCCCCCAGAAACATAATTTGCTCTGCGGTCTGGTGCTTTCATGTCTGCAGCTTATGAATATAACTTAGTTTTTAAAGATTAAATCATAAGCTTTTAAACTCAAATGTATCTCATTATAAGCATTCTAGTTGCCATCTTAAGTTTCTTTATCCTCTAACCTCATGACAAGGCCATATCCACACCCCCTCCAGCTCTTTAAACGGAGCCAGCTGTCCCTCCCACACACGGCCAAAGCGCCCCACATCTGTTTACCCCCAGACCCACTGCCTCCTCCTCTCCTTCCCTGGTCCTGGGACACACTGGCTCTTTCTTTTTCCCATTGTCTGAACTGCTCTTCACCCATTTGAAACCCATTTTTTGATACCTTGGCAGACTTGCCATAGCTACTTCCCAACTCTGAACTCTCCATTTTTTTCCAAATGTATTTTTTTAACTTATTGATGAGAGAGAGGGGGAGAGAGAGAGAGAACAATTAGTTATCTCATTTGTTTATGCATTCATTGGTTGATTCTTGTATGTGCCCAGACCATGGATTGAACCTACAAGCTTGGCACATCTGGATGACGGTCTAATCAACTGAGCTACCCGGCTAGAGTGCACTCTCCATTTGAGTTGCACCCATGATTTCAAAACTGGCTCTCTCCCAGCTGGACCTGGGGGAACTGAGTGGCCAGTCCAGGTCCCTGATCTCCTTCCCTCCATGGGAGGAAAACTGCTCTGCCTCGCCCAGGCACAGAGGCTTCTTTATGGGTAAACATAAAATGTTACCCCCCAGGCTACAGGTCAGAGCCTAATTGAAGGACCTGAATATTCAATCCTAAGGCTGAATTCACAATTCTATTTCATCTTATCTGGCCCACAGGACAAGAACCAAGGAAAGGGATAAATTCCATTCACATTCATATTGTGAAAATACTACATGACTACGATGTGTTTTGTTTTACTAACCTGAAAGAGACTCGAGATGCTTAACGAAAGGGTTATTACTTTACAATGGGAAATGTAACCATTCTTGAGAGAGCAGGAATCTATAGGTTGCAAACACTACACATGATTGGCTTATAAAAACACTATGATTTTAAACGTTTAACATAAAATAACAATTCCTAGATATCTGTCCTTTAATCCAAACATCTGGTATGTCTGTTGTCCCCAGAAACCACCACATTTAAGTTATTATTTGCATCTACAAGTCTTAGAAAATACAGATAAATTTCTCTGCAGAATATTCTTTCTCTTTGATTTACTAAATAGTTTCACAAATACTTATTCTGATACGGTACACTATGCACTATTATTAAACAAAAGTAGAGGGTTAAAAATAGTGATAGAACGGCACCATTTGTGTTAATAATAAACAAAATACATAGGTGGCTATATACAGAGATGATAAATAGATAGATACATAGGTAATAACTGGATAAGGACATGCTTGAATACAGAGAACATATTTCTGGAAGAAGGCTCAAGAAGTTGGTAATTATTGTCTCTACTTAGGAGACTCATAGACTGGAAGATAAATGGGAGGAAGATCTATTTCCTACTGTTGGCCTTTTTGTACTGTGTATTTTTTATATATATTCTGAGAGACACTCAAACATAAGCATAAAGATGGACAAGTACACATACACACACACATACAGAAAGTGGATAGGTAATCCTAACTCTAAATTGAATTTATGACTATGTGACCAATTAATCTTATAAAAATATGTGTTACTACTCTTGAAAAAATTAGCCCCAAGTATGGAATATCTTGATTTACTAAAAGAGTCTTTATTAAATTGGATAAATTTATATTCTGTTTCTAAATATAATGAAATAGAAAAGAACTACTTTTTTTTAGCTTGGAAATTTAATGAAACATTTTAAATAATGATAAAGAAAAATAACTTATTTTACATGTTTTATCTAATAAAATTCTCTTGAAGAAGGGACTCTAAACAGATACTAAAGTCAGTATTTAAGGTAATTTTTCAATAAGATTAAAATTCAACTTGAAACTATCCTCCATTGAAATAAATTTTCTCAGGCTTACTAGGTAACCAAGCTTCTACAGAAAGAGTATTTTCCTTTTTTAAAAAAATATTTTTTATTGATTTCAGAAAGGGAGAGGCAGAGAATAGTAGAAGTATCAATGATGAGAGAGAAACATTGATCAGCTGCCTCTTGCACGCCCCCCACTGGGGACTGAGCTCATAACCCGGTCATATGTCCTGACCAGGAATCAAACCATGACCTCCTGGTTCATAGGTGGATGCTCAACCACTGAGCTACACTGGCCAGGCAAAAAAATATGTATAATTTTAATTCATTTACACAGGACAGCTATTGTTGTGTTGGCTGTTGTGATTTTTTAGTTTGACAAGCCAATGGAAAAGAGATAAGTGCCCCTGATTAAATAGTCAGGTATTGTGTGTTTTAAAAATTCTTGCAGCACACCTGTTGAAAATTGCTGCACTAATTTATTAAATCTTCTCTTATGTTA